ATAAGAAGAGAAGCCAAAGCAGGGTTACCAAAGTTGTATTTTTAAAGCTTGCAATGAATAAATTAATACGTTTAGTAATGAACACGCAATGCAACAGAGTTATACTATTCAAAAGCCAAACGAATATCAATTCACATCGCAACATATACTAGTGATGTCATTTAGCAACAGAACCTGGGTGTAAAGATGTGTGATGAACATCATTCTCTTTTTTAAAATATGTTTTTACTGACTTCAGAGAGAGGAAGGGAGAAGGGAGAAGGAGAGAGAAAGAGAAACATCGATGAGAGAGAAACAGCGGATAGGTTGCCCCCTACTGGGGACCGAGCCCACAACCTCGGCATGTGCCCTGACCAGGAACTGAACCGGTGACCTCTTGGTGCATGGGTCAACGCTCAAGCACTGAGCCCCACCACACCAATCATTCTCTTTGATCTTGTCAGTTTTTTCTTGGATTAAATGTATAAACTTATTTGGAGATAACAACAGAAGTGTAAATTTGAGGACTTTTACAAATGGGCAACATGGGCCCACATGACCCTCCATCTACCATCCTGGTGATAAGTGATACGGCTGGCCCAACCACTCGTCTCATGCAGGTCCCCCCATATCTCCTCTGTGGTTCCAATCACTGGATCAACCAAAGACATCTCTGCAGTCCAGGAGCAGGGCCTGGTCCAGCTGTGCGAGGAAGGCTGAGGGCCCTTCTGGGAGCGCTGCATACACTGGAAGGGCTGCCGGAACCACCTGCACAGCAGAGTGGTGATGGTCACTTCCCACTCTGGGGCTTGCTTTTTCCTTTCTGTGCCTCCTCGGCTTGGCTCCCTGAGGCCCTGGGCAAACACTGCTGTTGTTCCAAATGGCTAAAACCACTTGACATTTAGTGCAGCAGAGACCCTGCAAGGAACTAACTACATGCTCAGTGGTAGAATTCACTGCACCAAAATATTAGATGGTTCCACTGCCTGCCTACAAATTTCTATTGCATGGCAAATGATTAGAAAAGAAGGCAATATCGGGCTTTCTTCAGATCCCCCCAAATGCAGCCAATCAAAGAATGTATTGTTCACCTGAATACATGCCTATGCCAAGACAACATCCAGGCATACAAATATAGATCCACTCACTCAGGTTCATTTACTGCATGCCCACAGTTTGACAGGTACTGAGCTAGGCATTGAGTCCACAGCTACGAATAGGATATGATCTTTTCCTTCACCAACATCCGAAGATGACGTACATGGAGAGAGCGAGGAACAGAGAGCTCGATAAACACTATCCCAGAGCACTTAACTGAACCTGCAGGTAGTTAGCCTTAATATAACTGAGCCCTGGCTGGTGTGGCTCAGTTGGTCGAGCATTGTCCTGTGCACCAAAAGGTTGCTGGTTCGATTCCAAGTCAGGGCACATACCCAGTTTGTGGGTTCAATCCCTGGTGGGGGCACATGCAGGCAACCAATCAACGTTTCTCACATTGATGTTTCTCTCCTTCTCTCCCTTCCTCTCTCTCTAAAACATTTTTAAAATAGAAGAAAGCAGGGCTGAGATGCCAGCTCCCTTCCTTCCCTCTCTGACTCCTTCACCTCTTCATTCTCTCCTTCTTTCTTTAATTCTGCCCCTCTTCCTCCCATCCACTCCCCCGCTCCAACCCCCCTGTCCTCCTCTCCTAACCTCAAGCTCTGGGTAAACATAAAAAGCACACGCTTTCTTATGCCCAAGGCTTCCTCAGCCCTAGAAAGCTGTCGTTCTTAATGCAAATGCATGCTTTCCTCGTGCTTTCCAATTTATTTATTTCCATCCAAACCTTCAGAAGCAGGGGGACTTATCAGTACATGTCATAAATACTGGATTTTATTCTTTTTTTTTTCTTAAAGCTGCAGCTCCCCCAGCAAGCATCGGACGAGGATGGTGCTACACAAACAGAAAACTGAATGAAGCCCCAGAAGAATGCGGGTGTTTCAGAGCTCCAGAGTTTTAGCTCCGTTCCCTGTGTCAAGGTGGTTTCTATCTGTGTCAGTCAGTGCATCACAACATCAGCCTCCATCCCCCGTGGCACAGCGCCCCTTAGCAAGCGCCTTCCCACACAATTTCATCAACTGTAAAACTGCAACCACCATTGATGTTACAACCGTGATTATGTCTACAAATGGGGAGAGATGCGGCTCTGCTCAGTCAGTCCCCGTGAAGCAGGTTCCCCATGGGACAAACCCCTTTTCCTTTAGTAAACTCAGAATGCTCATTGCTTAGTGGTATGTTCATATGAATTACCAATTCACTGGAATAACATGTTTACTTGCATGTGTGAAGTTCTTTCTTCATGCTGATGTCAGGATGGTTCCATAGCATCCCCATAGTCTGTGACCAACCGTAAAGTCCTCAGCTGCTTGATTTTAATATACTTTTCCTTGAAAAACAACTTCGTTTGTGAAAAATGAGTCTTAGACTTCACCTTCTATGAACCTTCAATTCACCCCCTCCCTCCCCCAGCCATCTGCTTACCGAGCCCCTCTATGCATTTCCTCCACCTGCTCTAAATATCCTTCTCTACCTCCCTCACCTTTCCCTCTAAGGCCTTCCTCCTTGTTGTGATTTTGTATTTTGCTATAAATTTTAACTCTATTCTCTGGAATATTCTCTCAAGGCCATGCCAATGGCTAAAAGAACTCAAAATCATCACGAAATACAAATGTACCATATCCCTTTTGACCCAAAGAATCAGCTTTAAGAGTTTATAACATTGCTAAGAATTAAGCTTTCCTGATTATTGTTGTATCAATCATAGCACCCAGAATATTGCATAAAATAATGAAAATCTGCATGGAAGAGCTTTGAATGCTTACTGACGCAGTATGCTGTGACCAGCTAGTAAAACAACATAACGCAACCCCAGGGGGAGGAGGGATAATATCACCATCTAGCACTGAAAATGGAAATAAAGTTGACTAAAAACGTCAAGATAAAGACCAAAGGAGGAAAAAGAACACTGAAGTTGCACTTTCATACGCGTGTATTGCATGCAGTCATGATTCGGAGTTACATTAAAGGGTGTTTCGCAGAATGAAAAGAAATCAAAGAAGAGAATGAGGGAGAGTTCTCTTTGGGCTATTGCTCAAAAAAAAATATTTATGGTATCAGGAGCATCAAGGAAGAAGCTTGAGAGCAAGAAGTGGGATAAAAACACTGAGTGAGCAGTTTGGAGAGAGGATTGGCACGGCTCCTAAAGCAATAGGCAGGAATGGAAATCGAGAGCACGCTTCCTAGCAAGGAGTTCTACATCTGTGCCAAGACAGTGGGTGATCACCGTCAGCTATAACCAGACTCCCCCTGCCTGACTCACAGGATGGGCTCTGGTATTTCCGACCCCAGCAGCAGGCCTGGGTGGGGGGAATCTCTCAGTGGCACCCACCCAAACTCTGATTCACCATCGGTTTGGGGAAGGCCTCTTTTTTGGTCCTGCTAAAGGGGTGGTACTTTTGTGAAACTACTGTTTACACACAAGATGGCAATCCCTTGAGGGAGGAGGGGCTGCCTTTCGAAGGGGTACAGGAAAGCCCAGGCGCATTGGTTACTTCGGTTACAATCAGAGCACAGCTCTGCCCTGGGTGCCTCCTCTTTAGGAAAAGGCTGGATGCTGGTCCTGCTGACCAACTGGCCAGTGGAGTGGGACCCACAGGCAGCCTGTTCCCCACAATCCGCGGTCGACCACAGGGTCCCACTTTTTTTCTCAGGGTGAGACAACTTCAGGAAAAAAATGTTTCCTTCTTCACCAAGACCAATGCCTCTGCCCTGGAACCTGAGGGGCCCTTCTCCCCAGCGGGAAGGCTCACAGGCGATGCTCCACATCGACTTCTTTGGGTTAAAATGGCTCTCCTGAAGCTGGAGCTCAGCCCTGCCTCCAATTCTCAGAACTGCACCGCAAGCTCCTGGACTCCTGGCCTCTTGGCCTCCTGGCCTCCTGGCCTCCTGGCCTCCTGGGGTGGGGGGCAGCCTTTAAGCACCTCTGGTCCGGAGCCCTCTGCCCAGTGAACTGACCCTTCCCTTCAAATCCAAGGTGTTTCCCGCCAGCTTTTCTCACCAAAGGTGTTTCTAAAGGTGCTTTGAGTCAGGGGTAGGAAGACCCCAGACCCAGAAGGAAAGTGCTGAACACAGCAACAGTTACCTAAGAGCTCGGATCATGGTGGGGACATAGCTTGTCTCCACGAAAAGGCAGACCTGTTCTCTGACCAGGCCGCGGGCCAGGCTGGACAGCACCCGTGTCTGCTTCCAAAGGAACTTCCCCTCCAGGCCAAAGGTTGCTAATCTAAAGTGACCGCACCAAAGACGTTGCCAAATGCCTCGGGGTCATGCCTCTCTGCGCCGTCCCAGAGGGTTAGGAAGGCGCTTCCTGGGCTCCAGAAGGGACAGGGAAGGGCAGGAGCCCCACTTGTCCGGAGACCTGGGAAAGATGCTCTCCACGCCAGAGAGTGGGTTATGGGGGCAGCGCCGGGCAGAGGAACCTCCGGAGCCCGGGGCCGCGTTTACCCAAACCAGCTTCCTTGGAAAGTCAGAGAGGCGACGAGCCGAACGGAGCAAGCCCACCAGACCCGCCAGCCACGGGGAGGCCGGAAAAGTTCCTCCCGCACCGCGCAGGCCTGCCGGCAGCTGTCCGTGGTGCTGAAAGGTCTCCGCGGG